GAAGCAACAGCCCCCGGCCCGTGAGAGATAACACTGCCAGCAACAAATGTAGTCACATAGAAACGAGACATGAAGGCGCCACCGTCCTGCCGCTCTGCTACCCCAATCAGTGCCAACAGATGTGATTTGGCCCGTGTGGGTAAGAAGCCACATTATTTGTGGGGGTTATTTTTGAGAGGTTGTGTAAGTTGTGTTATGTCTGCATGAAGCAACACCCTCGTGTTGATTCATCACCAATGAGCCGCCTGGGCCAGATACACCTGACTTTTGAAGCTATATAAACCATGTGTCGGTTTCGATGACAAAATTGGCCACCATGCTGTTCAACCTCAATGATAAATTATAGAGCTTGAGCACACCTAGCCTCGAGGCCGCTACAGAGAGCCTACGCAAGAGTGAGCTGGAGACATCAGCCTCTGAGTACTCTATCCCGTCCAGCATGCCTGGCCTTCTGCCACCTTTGGAGGAACTGTACGTCAGTGAGTGCTGGCAACAGTGGTGTTGAGCCTGACACTAATTATTTTGCAGAGAGAGAGGCTCACTGCAAGCTCAGCGAGAAAGGAGAACTTGGAGAGCCTGCCGAGCATTATTCAGCTTGTCTCTTCCGCCTGTGCCTGATAATAAGCCACCCTTAATGAAGATATTGTGTATGACATGTCGGGCAACCACTAAAATTAATACATAACAACAAGTGGCAGATAGGATTTACATGACAACAGACTCAGAAATCTGCCATGCATGAGGTCAAAAGGTGAATTCAGATCAGGTGGCTATCCTGGTATCCCATTCAACTCAGACTAGCAAGTACCTTGCTTCTTCCAGATCTCATCTTGGCTTTTGGTGTTATTTGTCTCATGGTAATAATAGGCATACTTGAGAAATTGCCAGTCATTGCAGGCTGGCAGATCTGATTTGGTGTCAATTGAAAGGCTTTGCATACAGTTATGCAGAGGGACAGACAGTGCACATTGAAACAGCACTCATGTGACAGCAAGGATATGGGAGTATTACACTGGGTACACATAAAGTCCTCCAAGCTATAGCTACACAGGCCAGTGATCTTTCAACTGGCAGGCTTGTCTGAGGTATTTATATATAGAGTTCCATTGATGGACTGCTTTGCTTCTTCTCTATGTGCGCACACTTGTATGCCTAAACCAAGGATCAGTTGATTAGTCATTACAAATGAAAACCCTGCACACCATTATACAGTTGGATGAAGTCATTAACAATAACAGGGATCAGCTTGTTAAGCTATTCAACAGTGTGCTCTTGAGGACCCGGAAGCACATAAAACAGGTAAATCTTGGAAGGCTGAAAACAAATTGTCTCAGGATTATTGACCACTGTCACATAGATAGCACCAGTTGAGTGGACCTTGTTACATGACTTCTTCATGGGCTGGAACCTGAGTGTATGTCTCAGAAATAGCAACTACACACTTGGTAGTATGCAAAATATACTAGTTTATGTTGATCACCATTATGAGTCCACAAAGGCAGGGAGATGAATCGTTGGATAGGAACATTATCCTGAGCAGGTACACAAACTTGCTATTAGCTCTCTTCCCTTGATACCACACAATGAGCAAGACCTACCAGGCTCCGAGCATCACTGGATATGCACCGAGATACTCCTGATACCATTGTACATTTAACCAGGGCCGCACCAAATCCTCTTCTACAGTCACAATGGACTACTACATGGTCCTCTTCAACAGTCACAGTGTCACAGACAGCAACATGAGATCCATCTGTACCCGCATCCGCATCTGTTTTTGGCTCTCTGTCTATCTGCTACAATATATGGAATAATAGTCATTAGCACAGTAATTTCATTTATTGCTTTTCCAGTGATTGTTTATCAAAGCACAGCATATTTAGATCTATGTGATAAAAGGCTTCACTGTCTCTATTGTAACTAGATATTATTAATATTGAAGAGTATTTATAATATTAATAATACTGACTGAAATGTAATTTTAGTTGTATTACACACTAACAAGAAATATGTCTTTAATCCTAGCCCTAATTCTCACTCTAAGTAACACTAACCATAATAATTCTACTATTGTCATTAGTACTAGAGTTTTATTTATTTATAATACACATTTCATCCTCTTTGCTTGATATATTTTAAGATACTATAGTCTGTTAGTAATCCTATTTGTATTCTGAAGGCTGATATATTGAGTATTGCATAACTATAATTTGCTCCTGTTTTTTTTCTGTTTTTTCATCCACAGCATGCTTATTATCTTTGCCATTGTCTATCACAATGAGTACGGCTGTCTGCACAATGAGCAGCCCTGCCTCCATGGCCTGCATAGCATTCAGAGCAATGGGTGGGCTACCAAATAGTGGGCAGGCGGCAGGCAGGGCTGGATAGGTAGCGGGTGGTGGACGGTTGGGCGGCGGCAGCGGGCGGGAGGCGGTAGCAGGCAGGAGGTGGCGGCAGGCTGGAGCCTGATTGGCTGGCCATAGTGCACTCCAGTGCTGTGGATGTATATTTTATCTAGTATTCATGGTATAACCTATAGCTTTACTGTCTGACTAAGCTACTAAAGTGGTATTTTTACACATTATCAAGTCTACCTCTGCATCCGCATGTCCGTACAGATTATCTGCTCTTAGCATCCACTACTGAGCATCCGACTGCACAGTACATTATCTATACCATTTATAGCCTACTGCGGGTGCAGATATCAATATTCATGCTGGGGCTGCCATACCAGTACTCTCTCCTGCCGACATCTGCATCAAATATATTCTACCTCTGTGCAGCCGTCCACAATTAGTGATTAATGACCGGGAATCTCGGGCCTAACAAGGCCTTTAATGACCAGGACTCCCGGATTTAGGTGGCTAAACTATATGCGCCAGCAGCACCCTTGCCTCCGGCCTATTCGTCCCACCTATCACTTACCACCCATTGCTGCTGCCAACACAACTCCCATTGCCCCTAACTTTCCCCGACAACAGCGCCACCGCCGGGGCTCACCTTTGCTGAGCCCGACTCGGCCACAAACCTGGCCAACCTTCGCGGCATTGTCATTGACGTTCTCAGGCACTCGTGCCCACTCTCTGCAATATTGAGGCCATCTGAGCCAAGGTCCCCGACCTCTCTACCAGTGACCCCGCTGGCTGCGTGCACCACAAAGCTGACCAGTCCAACTGCATTGTTTCTGCCATAGCGCCCCTGCCTACCCGCGATACTCCCGTAATGCCTGTCACTCTATAGTAGCCCGGTTCGCCTGGCAAAGAACCATGCACTAAAACACAGACTTTGCCACCGGCACCGGGCCACCCTTGCCCTCACTTGATCTGCTGCGCCTTTATTACAAGATGTCTGCCGCACAAAATTGACCATTGTGGGCATGTGCTTTATGATGCCCTCCACTGGTGTCTATAGATCCATATACTCGAATCAGGAATATTGAATGCCCACTTTGTCGTGCCACCCTACTAGCCGATTCATAGTCTACATCACACTGATCTTTTTTGTCTTAACATTCCTATTGTCGGGATTTTCTCCCCTGTACCCCCTCGAAATGTAATCTTTTATTCTACATTACAACTAAATTAAGCCTAGTTTGAGCTCGCTCTGCAGTTTGAACAGGTTTGGATCAGGTTTGTGAACCTAGAAAACTGCCCTAAATGCAAAAGTGAGAGAAATAGTTGGAACAAGCTGCGAAACCGTAAAACTTAGTTAACAGATTTAGCCATCTTGCTGATGAAGTCGTTAACTGTGCGTGTCAGACAAATACACGTGATCATATTCCGGCCGTGCTGTTTCCGCTCGCACAGCTCGCTATATACTTTCCTGCCCTTGCCACCAGTGTAGAACGACTCACAGGGTGCGCCAGGGAGCTCTGGAGCATATTTGTATTTAGGTGGCTGATAGGGCACAATCAAGCTTGATCAAGCCCCCCATGGAGCTTGACAATGCTTCGTTAAGCTTGATCATGCCGTCAAGGCCCGCAGAGCTTGATTACAACTTTGCAGGCTTTCCGACACAGTGAAGCAATATCTGCATGAGCACTGTGACTATATGTTTAATACACTTCAAGAGAACATGCCAGTTGCACTTCACTTGGTCCCAAAGGAGCTCATCTGGAAATGGGAACATCGGTCATAGCACTTCGTTGATGCTTATGCAGATGTGTTACGGACACCCGATTATCTATTATCTTTTCTTTTTCTTTTTCTTTTCCCAGACTCCCATATGACTCGGCAACTCCTGTGACTAGGAACAACTCATCCAGTTCCCACCCTTTGTTTACATCTGTTTATCTCACCTTATCTATATAAGACTGTGCCCCTGCTTGTAACTTATCTTTAATCTCGATCTAATCAATCCACCGGCTACTCAGGCACTTATCCTGGTTACCTTGCGCTTGCCTTTGTCTGTGTTAGTAAGTGGCCCCCTAGCTGTTGCTGACATTAGATCAAGGTTCTCAACTTGCTCTCATACTCGTCGCCACCATTACCGCCTTCGTCGCTGCCGTTGCCAGCTTTATCATCGTGCCTCGCCTCGCTTTGCCCGCTACCCTACCAAACTTGGTAGTCTCTTATTTGATTCCAGAAATCGCTATAAGGAGTTGGGTCTATCACTGCATTCGCAGTCTTCACCACTCACATAGTGCTCAGCTTGAGCATGCCTTTGTTCCTAACAACTAACTCGACCGTAGTTCAGGCAGGCTCATTGTGAAATACAGCTGGCTCATTAGCCTAGAAGTCATCTATCGTGAGGAACACTTGGTTACCCTCCACTACATGTTCAAGCCCACCTTCCAACACTTACGCTTTGCTTATGATGGAGCTGTACCGGCTGTTATCTGGGACGCATCGCAGTTATTGGTCATTATCAGCTCGCATTACTTACCATCGCCACCGCCCTCGCCTCTCCGCACCCCGAAGGCTATCACCTTCAACTTCAAACCCGCCGCCTCGCTCACACCCACTATGCATCCCGAAGACTTTCCGTCCGAATATTAAACCATGCCTGTCATTGACGCCACCAACTACCTGGCGGATCTCCCTCAGGCCGGCATTCATATTGACGCAGACAATGAAGAAGATTATTGCCTTCCACGTACCCTAGACAGTGACCTACTGATCTGGAAGGAGACCCACCCGGACACCAGAATGGTCACTTGGTGGATGCATACCAACGTGAGGGTGGCCCCAGTGCCCTTGTCTGCTGACGCCCGCACTAACACGATCAGCGTGGCCAACGACTGGCAGATCTGTGACTTGCAGCACCTGGTCATCAACTAGCAAGCCCAACTCAACGCTGCGTCACCACAACCCCAGATCATTGTCCAACCCGCGCCAGGTCCGCAACGCTCGCATATCCGTGTCCACGCCCCGCGTACCTTCTCTGGTGTCTCCAACGACAAGGGCGTCTGCAACCCCACACCATGCGACTTCATTTGGAATGTGCGGAACTACCTCGTCACTGGGGAGGAAGCCGCCGGTAACCCGCTCAGCAACCACGTCAAGATTGTTCTGGTCTCTATGCTTCTCAACCAGTCTGCCGCCATGTGGTATGAGCAGATCATGGCCGACTATGCAGAGTATTGGCAGATGGCAGATCAGGTGCAGCAGTAAGGCCAACCGGTTTCAGCTTACTCGGGCCTGCTACTTGACCTCAGCACATTCCTGGCCATGTTCCTTCAGCAGTTTGAGGATGTCGACATCCAGAAGACAGTCATCACTAAGATCCAGTCCATGCAACAAGGCGCGCAGTCTGTGGAGGTGCACACGCGCCTGTTCAAGGACTGGGCCGGCCACACAGGCTTCAATAACACTACACTCATTGAGCTCTACAGGAGGAGCTTGAAACCTGCCATCTGTAACAAGGTCAATTGTCAGGGCAAGCATCGCCCGGACACGCTCCAAGGCTGGTACAAGGACACCATGCTATTTGACAGGCAGTGGCGTGAAGATCATCCAGACCGGCCCTTGTCACCACCACTAGGGGCCGGCCCAGATGGGTCAGCCTGTATTAGTTCATGAAGCTGACCTGGTCAATCTCTATTGCCGAAGTCTCAGGAACGCGGTGATTAAGAAAACACGAAGTCGATTATGTCACCGGTCACGTGAGAAAAACAAAATATATTGTTTGTATATAGTGCGCTCAGTGCATACATTAGACAGCTCAAACAGTACATTTACAGAAGATACAATTATATAGGGAGCAAGATACAAAGCAATACAAAGTTGAGCCAGATAGGTACTACAACTGACGCGAAGAACGGTGCAGAGCACTGTCCACTGGTGCCTGCTTGTTGCGGAGCAATGCCCCAAGACAAACACAAACACGCGTAAAACAAATGCGAGCAGACAGAGGGCTAGCACGAGCCCATGGAGAAGAGACACAACCACGTGTATACGGACGTGCGAGAGAATAGTGGATAACTTGACCACAGCAAAGAGTCCTGGACGAATGTCAAGCGGGCACGGTCTTACTAGCGCGAAGCAAGTAGCTAGACCACAACTCAAAGTTAGATAACTTCTAAATAAAGTACAACGCAAACCACTCACCTAGACCGCAACTCAAAGAGGCTGAGATGCAGATCTAGGATGAGTTTGACAGGCTTTTATAGTACTCTACTAGTCCTATGCCGAGGCTGTGTCATACACTGCAAACCTGTGCCGTACTGCCGAATGCACTGCCGAGTGCTGCAAAGCTGTACCGTACTGCCGAACA